AATGAACCACCAATTGTATGTTCTTCGAATCCACCAATTATATGTTCTTCGAATGGACCACCAATTGTATGTTTTTCGAATGCACCAATTGTATGTTCTTTGAATCTACCAATTGCATGTTCTTCGAATGGACCACCAATTATATGTCCTTCGAATCCACCAATTGTATGTTCTTCGAATCCACCAAACGTATGTTCTTCGAATGGGCCACCAAATGTATGTTCTTCGAACCCACCAATTATATGTTCTTCGAATGGACCATATTCATCTGAATGTACCACTCGAAGCTTGTGGATCGAAGCAAGCATGAAGGAAGCCATTGCCTTGTGGATCGAAGCAAGCATGAAGGAAGTTATTGCCTTGTGGATCGAAGCAAGCATGAAGAAAGCCATTGCCTTGTGGATCCAAGCAAACATGAAGGAAGCCATTGCCTTGTGGATCGAAGCAAGCATGAAGAAAGTCATTGCCTTGTGGATCGAAGCAAGCATGGAGGAAGACATTGCCTTGTGGATTGAAGCAAGCATGAAGGAAGCCATTTCCCAGTTGAAACTTTGGAAATCTAAGCAAGCTTTCTCTTCTTCGACTTGTCAAAATCTGCCAACCACTTCTTTCGATCAGTCATGTAGTTCGACCAGCCTGAACCAGATTTTGAATTTGACATAGTTATCTGCAGCTGCACACTTTTTCTTTTATCTGCTTTGCCCTTTCGACATTTTCCTCTTTGAGCTGATGCTTGAAAGCCCAATGGAAACTATTATGGGGCATTAAAAATTCAATTATACTTGTGCAAACTTGAGCTTTTTGAAATCTTTGTGAGAAATGCCTTGAGAAAAGAGAGGGAAAATTTTGGGATACAACATTTAGGAAATAAGGTTTTGATTTTTTAATAGGGGAACTCGCCACAATTTTAGTCGTATGCCTACGTATCCTCTTATGAGGAATCAGAATCTCAATTTGTAGTTCGTTGTTGTTTGGTTAGTGTTTTTTCTGAATTGCGGAAATCCCTTAGATTCTCCTTGAACCAAGTCTGGGTTTGAAGTTTGCGGAATCGTAGACGTAGTTCGCAGTTAATAGAAGAAATTTCCACAATCCTTTTTGAAAATAAATATAAACTTGAATTATGTTAGTAGAAAATTGTTAGCGTTTGATTGGTTAGCTATTTAGAGTGTGTAATGCAGTTATGCAAAAATAAGTTTGAACGAATAAAGATTTAATGCAAATGTAAAGAATCAGGATTAGTGTTTTAAAAATAGTTTGATTAATAAATAACTATTTTATAATTTATTAAAAAATATGTTAAATATTTTTAATAAAAAAATCTAATGATTATTTATTGATTATGCAAAAATTATATTTAATGCAAAATGCTGAAATATGTAATATACGATAATGAAATGAAAAAAAAATGAAAAAAATTTTAAAACATTAAAAAAATTATAGACAATTAATTTATTAAGGTCAAGGGGGTGTAAAACCTAAATTTGGGGGTGCTAAGGTGAAGGGCCCTAGTTCAGATATTGAATTGAGCCCAAAATGCAGGTGGGAGTATGAATTCAGTTAGCGTAGTAAATTGTGGGGGTTGGATAGAGTTGGGAGAAGATTAATTCTTTTGAATTTCCCCTAATGAAACAAACTAGAAAAAAGAGTTTGAAATAATCTCTAAAAATTAAGTTCTGGAAAAAAGATTTAATATATTATATAAAATATTAATCACTAATTATAACAAAGTTTAGTAGACAATTATATAATAATATAAAAAAAAATTTAAACCTATTATAATAAATCCCATAACAAATATTAGATCAACGAACCAACATAATCAGACAAAAATTTAAACATATGCAAATATTCACTCATACAATTAAAGGTTCGGTTTTACCAATCTAGAATGCAATGACCCACTTAAGCTATTTCCTCCCTTTGTTCTTTTGCTTTTTCTTTCCTTTCTCCAATGTGATTGCCTAGATGAATATCAGATTCTGAAGGCTTAGAGTTTATTTGTTATTGTTCTTTGATGTGAAAAACAATAATTTTATGAGTAATTTTTTTGTAAACTGTGGATTCTCCAAATGATTGTTGATGGAGGCTTCAGGGTTTCTTTGTTGTTGTTCTTCGATGTGAAGAGCAACAACTTTAGGAGAACTCTAGTGAGTTGTGGATGATTATGAAATTGTGGATGAAAAATTAGGACAGCAATGAGTCCTAATTATAGAGTGAAATAGGTTAAAATACCCCAAAAAGAAAATAGTCCACACCAAGAAAAATCCAAAGTTTATGATTTTATTTTGGTCAACAAGTCTACAAACTCTGACCAATGAGAAATAAGTTTTCTAAACACGTGGCCAATCAGAAAGTGACTAATCATGTGATTTTGTTGTTTTTACATTTTATATGATTTTTTGGTTATTTTTTAAGTAAAAATTGAAGAAATTAAAGAAAAAAAACTATTTTAGAAAAAATACGAAAATAATAATTTAATAATAAAAAAGTGATTTTTTTGTGATTTTCCTCAATATTGTGATTGAAGATATTTATGTCTGACTGAAGAAATTTGAAGGTGATTTGAGATTTGATTGTAACTACAAATCAGTCATGAATGAGATTGAATGGAGATTGAACTAAAGAGATTTGAAAAATATTTAGAATTAATTATTGACAATTTACTTCATAAAGCCATGACAGATTTTGAAGATAAAAATCTAAATAATAACTTTTATTTATTTTGATTTTTTTCGACTAATTCCCACATTTCTTTCATTTTTCCAATGATAATAATTTTAATAAACCTAAAAATATAATATGATTCTAAAAAATAAAAATTCTAAAAAGTGACACAAATAACAATTAAAATTAAACTTCTAAAAAAATCCTTAATAAATATAGAATTTAAAAACGATATTCAAAAACTAAATTAAAATTCTAAAATTAGAAAAGTAAAAAAAAAATTTAAATTCATAGAATGTGACAAAATATAAAACAATTATAATATCACCATAATTGAAATTGAAATTTAGAACTATCTTAATTTAACTAAAATTAAAAAGTGACCGTAATCCTAAAGATCTTAATGTTTTAACAACTGAATATTAAAATATAAAAGATTACAAAAAATTTAGAAAATATAAAACAATAAAACTCTAAAAGATGACAAGAGTATAGTTAGCAACAAATAAAAGAAAAAATATCAAAAGCGGACAAGCGAGATTCAAACCCGTGATATTATACCTGCAAACTATGCTTCCTTACCAATTCTGTAATGACATTCTATTCAAGATAAAAAGACATATAAAAGCATATGAAGGTGGAAAATTATTTTGTTATTTTAAAAATACAAATATTCTAAATTAATTATTATATATTTTAAATAAGCAAAATAAATTACTCTTAAAACAAATGTTCTTAATACCCAAAAAAAATCTGAAACCAAATTTAAAAATAATTTGAATATTTTAAAAATGGGGCGGACAAATTTGGAGTATGACAGTAGTGAAATGAGCCATTTTTTACTTGGGTGTTAAGTGATGTCTCGTTGATTTTAAATCTAAGACTATGTCCTCCACTTTGAGATTATGCAAATACTAGTAGTAAGTGTGTTTTCCACATGGATATAACGATGACGTCTCTTCTCTTAAAATTAAACAACACACATGTGGTTTAAAATTTTTTAGGTGAATTACGAGTACCCTGATCTCCTATTGCACAGAAGGTGGTACGTATGCACTAAAGATTCGCAACCGCGGCGGGTGCAAAAATTGTAAAAAATATTTCTTTTCTCATCTCCACCATCTTATTTTTGTATACACCTTTTATAACCAAAATACACAGATTTTCAAAGAGGTTGCTGCATAGTACCGTAAATGTTTAGGGTGTTAATATCTTCCGTTTGTATAACCAACCCCCATACCTAGATTTTCTCCCCCTTTATTTTGGGTTTAATCGTTCTTTTCCCATTTACTTTAGAAACAATAAAGCGCAGTTGCGATTTTTTTTTTGATTTGTACGAGTTAAGTCAATTTAATGGCTTAGTCTCAATATTTCTAGCTCTACCATTGGTTAACATTGTGATCATATTAAAACGATTTATTGAAAACTATTTTATTAACTCTTATGGTTGTCTTGTATTTCATTCGATATATTATCCATATCCGAGTTTTCAATAATCGATTCGGATTAGACAATTTAATTAATTTAAGCTAAAAGTTCCACTTACCTTAATTTTTCATTTATTTTTAAAACAGAATTTTTAAAAAATATTTTTACTTTAAAATCTATTCACCTGCTAGATAAGTTGCCATGCTCTATAGTGTTGCTTGGTGAGTGTTATTGAGATTGTGATAAAAAGTTAAGTTAGAGAGATGTTGGAGCTTCTCTGTCACATTATACAGACCATTAAGTTCTCATACATATTTCTACTGAAAAATTTGACATCATCTATTGAACTCATACATATTTTTATTTTTTTTCATACACAAAGCACTAATGTGAAAATAGACTTAAATATTTAGTCTATAAGAAGAAGAAAAGTCATAAAATATGATAGAGACATTTTTCTCAATATGGTTGAAAAAAAGAAAGAAAAAAAAGTAATAAAATGAGAGAAGACTAACAAAAATGATTACATCTAAAAAAGAAGAAAAAAAAGAGAAAAAAAAACGAGTGCTTTTAAAATTTTCACTAAAATCTCTTATTATTCCCACTCACTATATTTGTTGCTTAAAGCTTCTCCTCCTCTCCCTTATCCTCTATCATTCATTTTCATTCTCTCTCTACCTATCTTTCTCTCTCTTTTCATCACATTGAACAACTCAGCTGCAGTGCCAAGTTCCCACTAACCATTACAATTTGTGTGTCACCTCACCTCTTGTCTTACTTCCCAAACACACACAATTTATTGACAGTGAAAAAAAAAAGCTTTTTTTCACTAAAAAATAAACCCCACCATTTTTTTCATAAAAAGTGCTTATTATAGAGAGAAATTAGTTACATGAAATAAAACGATCATGGAATTGGAAGGTGATCATCAAAGTAATGGAATCCGAAGCAGACCAAATTTCCCTCTTCAGCTTTTAGAAAAAAACAACATCATCGAACATGTCTCCGAAGAACAACCTTGCTCAACCACCGCAAACGACGGTTCTTCTACTGCCATCGTATCATCAGACAACCAGAAAAAGCCTCCGCCGAAACGGGCCTCGACGAAAGATCGGCACACGAAGGTCGACGGACGAGGCCGCCGGATCCGTATGCCGGCAGCCTGTGCTGCAAGAGTTTTTCAGTTGACGCGTGAACTGGGACACAAATCCGACGGCGAGACGATCGAGTGGCTACTTCAACAGGCTGAGCCGTCGGTTATAGCAGCCACCGGAACAGGAACAATCCCTGCGAATTTCACGTCGCTTAACATCTCTCTTAGAAGCTCTGGTTCAACTATGTCCGCTCCGTCGCACTATTTTAGAGGTAATTACTTCAACCCTAGTACGTTTCCAACTGCGGCGGCGGCTCAGCTTCGAAACCGGGCTGAATGGGATAGAAATATGAATATGAATGTTGTGGCTGAAGATTCTAGAAGAAGTAACAGTATGTTAGAGAATCCTTCTTCTTTGTCAGCGATTTTGAATTTTAACAACGTGCAAAATGCTATACTTCAGACTAAGCAAGAACTCCGGGATGAAAACATTGCTTCCGCGGCCGGAGGATTTGAATTGTTGGGTTCTGATTCTGATGGAAGCATAGGTAGAAAAAGAAGGTCATCAGAACAAGAATTGTTATCACAAAATATGGGAAGCTATTTATTACAATCAAATGTGGGGTCACTTCCTTCCAGCCATGCTTCCAACACTGCAGCGTTTTGGATGGTAACTGGCAATGGGAACCAAACTGTTAATGGCGGTGGTGGTGGTGGTAATGGAAATGATCCAATTTGGGCAATTCCTTCTGTTGGAAACAATGGCTTATATAGAGGAGCTATGTCAATGTCTTCTCCTAATGGAATTCATTTCATGAATTTCGCTTCTCCAATGAATCTCATGCCTGGAAGTCAATTTGGTTCCGGAATAATCGGCGGCGGTGGTGGTGGTGGAGGAAGCGGCGGTATTCTGGGCGAAAGCAATTTAAATATGCTTTCAGCCATGAATGCCTATAGACAGATTTCTGCAAATGGCATGTCTGAGTCGTCCGGACATCACCAAGGCGGTGGTGGAGGAGGCGTAGACGACGACGGACATGACTCAAGCAGTCAACACTCTTAAAGATTGATCAAGTAATTACAAATCTATGATCTGATGCTAGTTTGTTAATTTTTCTTTTAATTATTATAATTACTATTCCTATTAGTTTTGGTTATGGTTATGGTTATGGTTAATCCATAAGCAAAAATATATATTATATATACATATATAAATATATTATATGTGTTATTTGTTATCTTATGTCCATTTTAAAAACACTCAAGCACAAGTTTGATTGCTTTTTGGAACTTTGCTAGTGTGGTGTGATTTTCATTTTTCATTGGATCATGTTAGGGTTTTTGAGAAGAACTTTCAACATTTCTATATATTTTTTTACATAGATATATATTTGTTATATGGTGTTATATGCTATTATTAAAGTTAGAAGAAATTTAGTTTATATTTATTAATGTGATCATGGTTTTATTAGCAAGCTCATTAAAAGATTCAATTATTGGTATGAAAAAAAATTTAATATGGTACGAAAATTACATTTTTTTACTGCAATGAGAGATGAAAAGAGAAGATGCTGGCATTCTGATATGTAAGTGTACTGCAAAAACTGTCACATGCACGACGCATCTCTTATTGCTGCAGTTATGAATTATGTATATGTACTATACTATATAGCTATAGCTAGGGACCAATATCTATATATCTATACATAATAATTAATATAAAAATAAATACTTTGTATATATATTTATATGAAAAAGCACACTAATTTGAAGTAACTCTTAAACTCAGGTGATGGTGTGGTGACCAGTGAAACTATATTACCTAATTTTGATATACAATCTTTTTGATGAATAAGAGTTTCATTCTTTCTTTTTCTATTATAAGCTATTATATAGCTAGAGTTTATGAACTATAGTACATTGAAGAAATTAGAAGTAGTGATTTTAATTATAGCTATGCTATGAAATTAACTTGTATACCCTTTTGCATCTATTATTATGAACTGTTGTTTTCATAAATTAAAAAGCTAGTTAGCTATGCTAAAATAAGGTTTTGTTGTATCAAATTTTTTTTCATGATGATCATTTTTAGCCCCACCTTATTGTTTTCTTATATGAGAATTCATACATTAATTTAAACCTCTAGATGCATAGCTTTCTTCTTCTAGTTTTTGTTTGGTGTATAAAAGAAATTATCATTTCCTTTATAGATAATAAAATATGAATCCAATCCACTATACAACACATTCTCTTTACCTTTTTTCTATTTTATTTTCCCGTTGAATGAAAGTGTGAATATATTATACAATTTTGTGTGTGTATAAATTAATGTATACAGAGTTTTTCTCCCTTTTAGCATCTTAGGCTAAATTTTATATATAAATAAAAATGTTCATGTAGGACTCATGTACTCAATTGATGTATACTTTTATCATTAGACAGCTTGATTTTATTTTTCTATTAATAATTAAATATATTAAAATGATTAGTGACATTTTCCCGTTAATATGTTTATGTTATAAACAACAATGTTAAAATAATAATTATCCATAAATATCATAGGTTGAAGTGTGTTTTCGAATCCTCAACATTCTACTTATTCATATTTAAAATAGTGAAATATCTGACATTAGAATATTTGATCCGAAAAAATAATAATAACTACATATTAATATTTTATCATTAATTTTGTGTCACGTCCCTTTGATTATGCTGATAATTAATGAAAAATAAAACGTTTACATTGTTAATTAGTTGTTTTTTGTGTTGGGATTGAAAGAGTTCACAATAGGAACATATTGATTTCATAATTTCAACAAAATACATATCATCAAGGACATTCGGTACAACTTGAACATTCTAACTAATATGAATCACCAAAAATTTTACAGATGAAAGAGATGTGATGTTTTATTAAAATTAATTACAAGAAAATGTAAGAGTTCATTTTTTGACTATATATAGAGAGTTCATATTAGATGGACTTCAAATTATCAATTAATTTATAGTATTTAATATGAATCTGATTTAGGTGGTCCCTACTATTTTAATAACTTGTATTAAAATGTTACATTTTTCTCCCTTTTTTATTCTTATAAAAAAATAAATATTGGACTTTTTTTTAAATATAAATATATTTGACAAACCCTCAATTTATTTGGAAAAAGTAAAAATATAATTGTTGAACCTAATTAAGTACCTTTGCCATAAAAGTTGACTCAATTAGTGGGATTGATTTGTGCTAATACAAAGCTGTTTGGCTTGTTTCTTACTAGTATAACTCTCTATGAAAAGTACTAATTAATGTAAGTTGTTAGGAATGATGATTGTGAAATGAGGTAGTGTCTGCTTCTCCAAAACTTACATCATAAAGTATATTTACTTAAATATTTTCTAATAAACTACGTTTTGTTTTTAATAGAAATATTTGTTATCACATATAGTCATATCAAAATATACATAAGTAATTAAATATATTTTTGGGATAAAAAAAAAAAGGTGATCGTTACTATGGAGAGAGATTTATGTGCACGTTGATGCACTAGTAATCAGTGCATGGCGTAGAATTTAGGGTAGGTAAGAAGCTAGGTAGGGCAAGAGAGAGTACCTTGTTGAGTAAACGATGAGTCTCCACCAAAAAAGAGAAAGATGAGTACGAAAAATAAAAGGTAAATTAAGCAATGAGTGCTTGAGCTCAATTTCTCGTACGTGTTACATCACACAATTGATCACTGTAGAGTTTTTTATTTTATTTTATTTCTTCTTATGAAAAGAATCAAATGGTTTTTATTTGATATACATGTAGACCAGCTATGCAATATAGCCAGCTAGAAAGCGGAATGATATGCTTAACATCCAATGTATTATGAAATATATGATGATCAGTTGAAGCTTTTTGAGAACCTAGTAAATTAAAATAAGTATTAAGTTGGTGGTTGATGCGATGTTAACCTTCGTAGCACCTACAATTTTGAAAACAGATGTGTCTTTATCCGTATTGATATCAGACACTTGCATTAACATTTATAATTATATTAAATTTATTTATTTTTTTAAAATATTATCGATATTATTGTATTAGTATCAAAATCGTATTTAAAATGTCTGTATTTTATAGAGGTTAAATAACATCATCTTCAAATAATAGTTTTTTTTCTTCTTTTCAATAAGCATCCGATCGTAGAGAATCCTTAAATTCAAAAAGTGTGTTCATAACGAGTTTTCATCACATTGGATGGAATTACCATAGCGAAATTTTTTAAAGGAAATTGTTGTCATTTTTATTAACAAATCTATTAACACGAGCACAAGGGTTAAAGGAAATTGTTGTCATTTTTATTAACAAATCTATTAACACGAGCACAAGGGTCATGGATATTTTTATTAGGATTAGGAGCATTGTTTATATTTGGTTTTAGTAGGAGTCTTCAAATTTATATCGATTTAAATAAAAATTACAAATTGAAGAAAAAATTAAATTTCATAAAAAATTGAATATTATTTGGATGATATTTTGTAAAAATTGTTTGATTCAAATTAAATTTTGAATTGATTTTTTAAAATTGATACACATGTATATATTTTTTATATTTGTTTATTTTTTATTACTATGACACAAGTGTTAATAATAATTCAATGATATTTATTTTTTAATACTACTTATTTGTTAGATTTAATTTATATATTTTTATTATTTTATTAGTTTCAACTATAATCGTTATTTTCATCTTGTAATATTAACTTTTAATATATTAAATGTTATATATTATGTCAAATTGATTATTTATTACTATTTTTACAATCTTAATAAAAAAAAATATAATCTATAATTTAGATTAGGGATGGTAAAATAGATTGTCCGTTCGTCCTGTCTTAAGTCCGTTAAAAAAATAGAGTGGTGGGTAAGCCCCTCCAAGTAAAAATGCACAAAAAAATCTAGTCTGTTTTGTCAAGGTGGCTGGTTGTGTTAGAATTAATTTATATTTTAGGAATATCTTTTTTAGATATTAATTTATATTTTAAAAATATCTTTTTTAGATATTAATTTATATTTTAGGAATATCCTTTTAGATCTTTTTATATCTTTGTTAGAGTATATTTATGATTTTATTATACCCTAATTTTGTGTATAAATAGCCTAGTGAGGTAGGTCAATGTAATTCATTGTAAAATATTATTCCTTATTTTTGTAGTCGTCATTAAATATATTTCTTTTGCCTTTCATCTCTTCTTTGTGCACCAACAATTGGTATCTAGAGCTCCAGTTCGAAATCCACGGGGAAAGTATTGTGTGATTGAGAATTACAATATTCTGAATCTGTATAATTTGGGAAACACTACTTTATTGAGTTTCTGCGTAAATTGCACAAGGTAGAAGATGAACGGAAATGACGACAATATCCATTCCAAGCTTCCAGTATTTGATGGCAAAAACTGGAATCGTTGGAAGATCCAGATGCGCGTGATGTTTAGTTCTCAAGATGTGTTAGATCCTGTCACTGATGGCTATGATCTGTTAGAAGCAGACGCAATAGAGGCACAGAAGATAACACATAAGGCGTTAAGGAAGAAAGATCAGAAGGTGTTGTTCTACATCAATCAACGTGTGGATGCGAATGTGTTTGAGAAGATTGGTGATTCTGAAATAGCAAAGGCTGCGTGGGACACACTGGTCAGGTGTTATGGTGGTGACGCATCAGTGAAGAAGGTGAAACTTCAGTCTCATAAGGCAATATGAGATGAAAGCTTGTGGAGAAACGCTTTCTGAATAAGTAATTATTGAGAAGATATTGAGATCTTTAACTTCTCAATTTGATTACATTGTGGTAGCAATTAAACATTCAAAAGATTTGAGTACCATGAGTGTTGAAGAGCTGCAAAATAGTCTATAGGCGCATGACTTGCGTATGACTGCGAGAACTTCCGAGAGGGAAGTAGAGCAGCAGGCTCTGAAAGTAACTTCTGGTAAGAAGTACCAGAAGAAGGCTTGGTCAGAAGCCAGGAAGAAAACTAATGGTGGTCAAAGGTCAGAAGCTCCAATCTCTGATAGGCAGAAGAATGTCC